CTTGACTTTACCAAAAAAACAAGGATTAGAAACAGTTTTTAATGTCGACGCCTGTATTTCACTGCGGATACAGCTAGTACATTATCTCTGGTTGTGGCTTCACAGGTGCTACTCGCTAACAGCACTTGCCCCAATAGTCTGTGCAGGCTACACGGGGAGATCTTTGTCTTGGCTGTGTAGCTCCTTCGTGTTGTTTGGCACGGCGTGTTGACGTTTCGCTCCACGTGTTGGGATGGGTGGGGCAGTTTGTTCGGGAATTGAACCGAACTGGGTTTAATGTTGACTTAAAGCTTTCGTGACTGCAGGAATTCATACTCTTAGGGTCTTTCGGTAAAGTCACGTAGATATATATTTTTTAATTAAATCACGACGTTTCGATCGCAACACAAGCAATCGTATTCACGTGAAAAAAATACAGCAGGCGGACTGCTGAGGCAGGAAGAAATGTAGCGAGAGAGCTACTGCAGCCGAAGGTTATATCGGTTTGAGATGGGTACAACCCAAGGGTAAGTGGGCCGGGCCAGAGATGGAATTTGCAAGTAAATGTAAGATCGCAGAGCTTGCTATCCCTCGGCTAATCATGTCTGAATTAACCACAAAACTTGTGGTCAGAATAAAGGCGATCGGTATTACCTTGGTGTCGCGGCATCTCTTCAGAGAAGTGAGCGACTCGATCAGATGTTTTAGAGTGTGTTAGAGTGTTTTTCGTTTGTTATGTATGCTTGTACACCACCACTGTCAGCGCAGCAGCAGCAACCGACTGATTTGAATGACCTCGTCTGGTATACAGGAGGTCGTTGGTTCGATCCCGACCTTGAGTTTGGATGTTCTCCCCGTGGTCGCGTGGATTTTTCTCCGGGTCCTCCGGTTTTTCCCTCCGCATTTGAATCAACATGCGTTTAGAGAAATTTGGCTGCTATACATTTGCACTCGATAAGCCGCTTCGTTGAGCTATCATTTGTGGCCAGATCGCTTCTGAAAAAAAGAGCTACATAGTAGTACCTCAGTGGGCCCTTACCTGGCAAAGTAAAAAAAACACGTGTTTTTAGTTTAGACTCGCACCATAATTAGAATGAATTATTGCGAGAGGATAGTTTGAGAATGCATGGCAATAGCACAAGTGCCTGCGTGGAGAGGACATGTTCGTAACGAGAGAGTTGAAAATAAACAGTGGAGTAGATTTTTTGACTTAAAGCTTTCGTGACTACAGGAATTCATATTCTTTGGGTCTTTCGGTAAAGTCACGTAAATAGGTTAACAAAAAAGACCCGAATAATATGTAGTAGATTTGTTCAATAAGTTACTCGCATGAAAGGTTGTGCTGCTGTTAGGAATATCTCCCCCCCCCCCCTTCTGAAAACTGGACACATTTGTCAATTGGTCTCCCCCCTCCCAACGTGGAGGTACACATATTTTTTGCCCTGATAGCTGCCAGCCAGCATCGGTACTGCTAATTAAATACCCGTAACTCGCTGGAACGCATTACAACATCCATTATTTTTCACAATGAGGTTTTTTTTTAGTAAGCATCCATTTTCTTAAGAGGTTGTATTTGTAAGAATAATGATGTGGATAGGGTCAGAATATTCTTTGTGAGGTCTAAAATACATGTTTTGGGGAGCTGATATATTTTTTAATAAAATAAATGTTACATTACATTTTTTTATAATGACAGCTGGTAAATATAATTGAAGTGGCTAAACGCAATAATCCCCTTACCACTCGCCTGCCGATACTCTTGACAACTGCTGGCATTCTAACGTGCTAGGTTCTCTTGTATAGTCGTTTTTTTATTAAATCATGAAAGTTCTGGATATTTGACGACGTAGTGTGTCGCAGGAATGCTGTGGAAAAGTGATTGGTGTGGTGGCCTTTGTGCATTTCATCTGGGCATACTGCCAGGCGAGCCACACCCAGCCTACGCATCGTGTCACTGAAGCACAAACAGCGAACCGCAAGCGAAAATAAAGTACCGTATTCGTTAAACACCGCGCACATTTCTTCTTGCGAATTAATGTGGTGTTCTACTCATAATTTGGCAGTAATCATATTTATTAGACTTCGTCAAAAATGTTTTATTGTAAATGTTGTGGCTTTGCTCTCCAACACACCGGTGTGCTGCACAAGTAACGAATTGGCATGTTCTGTTTATGTAGCAAACCTTACTAATTGGCTACTAATTGGCTGCGTCGGATGGTGGCGGGTTTAACGATACATTTATATATTTACGCGATCTAACCCAAAAAGCCTGTATTATGGATAAGGTGAATCATCTCCATCAGATTAACAGAGATTCACGGTTATACATGTACATTCATATGTCGGCTTGCAATATTTACTATATATACTGAATGATACATATGTATGTATGCATTGGATGATCTAATATCAAAGTTTTAAGTTTATTTGTTTAGCCGGGATGAGTCTCATTTGCAAGAGTGAGTGATGTGGGACGTAAAAATTACGCAAGCGAGTACAAAAACGAAAGTACATGGCAGTGAAGCAAATAGGAATTCAAGGTGAAAACAACCATGTTATAGGAAACATTGAAAATACAGCAAACATATACATAATTAATAACGCTTAGACAATTGTCTGTATTGTAAGCGATTGTAAATATGGCACAGACGAATGACTTTGATCGTGCACAATTAGCATATTCGTACACAGGGGGAAAAAAAACCCCTGCGAGTCACAAGACTCCTTTCCAGGAGGGTGCTGTCTTGGCTTGTTTGGCCAATCGCACGACCGAGTGTTAGACTCCGTGCGAAAGGCGACTGGAGCACCTGGAGGAATCCCCCCACGCCATGCGAGGGGATAACATCGAAAGCTCGGCAAACGTGTGAGTTCCGTCGACTTGGCTGTGTTGCCGGCCGTCTGCCGGTCACCTCGCAGCTCAGCGGGGTCTGTGAGAGCTTCCGTTGTTTGTGTGATCCACGTGTCCTCACCTCCGTAGCGCTGCATCAAGGGAGTCGCGTCACGACTCCCATTCCTGAGTCTGTCCAGTATTTCTTTGTCGATCGGGCCAGGGATTCCAGCGCCCCTATTTGTCAATGCCTAAACAAGCTCAACGGTCATAACGTCTCCTGTCACGTCGCTGTGCGTGCATTCGCGAACTTGCCGCACAGCTCTCCGCTGTGTTTCCCGTTTTGTACCGCGTGTTTTTGGTTCGGCGTGATGTCCGACGTTTCGCTGCTCGTGGCTGGAAGTTATTTCAGGAACTGAATCGCACCACCCACCTCATTCGTTACACGTTGGCCGTATTAGCTGCTCGCGAACGGCTATTGCCGCAGCAGGCCTCAAAGCTAAGCGGGAGATCTTTATCCGTGTCTTTTATATTTTTTTTGCTAAAGGAGATGCATTGGGTATAAACCGTTCAACCGAGGCATTTTTTTTGCAGATCTGACCGTTCCACATTTGTCACGCACTTGCTCCTTCTCAAACCACTTCTGTGGAAGGTCTGGCGGCATTCCCTGGGCCCCGTCGACTGCGGCAAGAGGGTGTCGGGTGTTAAACTCGACACCTCGGCAGAGGCGAGCAAAGCCGTGTCAGTGAACTCATTGGATTGACCGCTGGCATTCGCTGGATATAATCGAGCCAGGTGTCTGATTTCGTTGCTGTGTTGTAGATGCTACTCCCCCCTTTTACTGGCCCTCTCTTTTTTTTTTCTTCTTCTTTCGGGTTAACCTCTTCGTATCTGCTCTCCATTTCCCGCGTGTCGACGTTGGCAAGCGGCGGTGCTGTCGTTGTGCCACTGCGCCACGACGTGAACTCAGCCACCCAGGTTCGATTCCTGAATGGCATCAGGATCGGGATCGAACCCACGACCTCCCGTATACTAGACGAGGTAGTTAATATCTCAACCCCCCGCGAAACAGTGGAGCAAGTTGTTTTGTTCGTCAAATTGCCCCCGCATCTGTCCACTCAGTAGCATAAACGGGTACCAGTTAGTTGTTCGGAAGGTTGTATGTGGTGGGGTAAAGTGTGAGTACCCCCCCACACCACCCCCACCTCTTTCAAGACGTCTGGTCAGCGTGGAAGATTAGGCCAAATACTCTTATGGGGGCTCTCGAGAGCTCCCTTTCGTGGTGGCCATTACGGCAGCAGTGGCTGGGGCCTGGAATTGCAGCCCTCTATCTGTGGCCTCTCTCTATACACGGTGAAGAAGGGTCATCGTCTGAAACGTCACCTAATTGTTTTTTCCTCTTTTCGGCAGGACATCACAAACAAATTAACATCGCCAGCATCAGGACGACCGCTTGTGTTGCGATCGAAACGTCGTGGTTAATTTTTCTTTTTATTATTTTTTTTCTTTTTATTCTACGTGACTTTACCGAAAGAACCAAAGAATATGTATTTTATACCGTTCTAGGCTACCATATGGATTTACATTGTGTCGTGGTTATTTCATCTTGGCATATTCATAAACGATTATTCACCAATGACTCTTCGCGTATGATATAATTTCACACATTTATAAGTCACCTCACGTACGCCCTGGGACATTGCCACGTAGCCCGCAGGGGTCCTCCCCGTACCCCCGGTTGAGGACCGCTGCTTTAGGACTTCTTGTCTTGGCATCAGTGGCGCAGTGCTTCAAGCACTCAACCTGATCACCCCATTTCCAGACGCGACTGACGAGTGGCATCTGAATGGAGTCTGGGCTCCCCCCCCCCTCTCCCCTCAACCCCTTCACTAACCCGCACACATCACCGCCATGGCACGGGAAGGCACTCACCTAGCAGTGGATTGACAAAAGGGCTGGAAATTCGGACTCCTTATTTATTTAATGCCAATGTACTGCCATCCCCTGGCCATCTCTCAGGGCAAAAAAAAAACCTTCCCAGGCATTTTTGTTGTTGTTAAGTTTTAACCATCCCGTGTATCGTTTTCTCCGGGCCTGCTTCGACGATATCTTGACGAGGTATGCGTTCTCAGAGTGGGTGTTGCTTTTGTTTTGGAGGCCCGCGTCAGCTGTTTCGCTCCGTTTTCGTCTGCAGGTCCCGTCATGGCTCCGTTGCTGCTGGACTCTGCGAGCGCCGTGACACTCCCCGTGTGGCCGCTCGTCCTGATTGTGGCCGCTGCCTCCTTGTCGTTGGTGCTGCTGCTCGCGCTGTGTGCCCACTGCAATCGGTAAGCCGCGACGTTCCCGTCAACTTCACCCGTTGCGTTCGCCAGGGCCCTCGTTGTGGACTCGGTCAACCGGACCGACTGATTTGTCTCGCCTGTGCTGCGTTCAGCCACCGTCAAGCAGGTCGACATTCTTCCGTCTTTCTGCGTCGTTCCTCGCAACTGTTTAACTTTGGAATTCCCTCCCATCGTATTTCTTTCCAAATTCCCATAACCTATAAATTCCTATATAAAAAAAAGTGTTAACTCTCACCTTATACACCTTCAATAGTGCTGGATGTTGCTAACCGCTTGGGGTTTTGGGCCTGCGCTCAGCAAACGTGATGGAAGAAAAAAGCTCCACTTTGTGTCACAAACGTCAATTCTTATTTGCAAAGCCATCAGCTCTTTCACGAACTCGATATGTGACAGAGTGGGCAAGTTGTTACTTCTGGTTGTTGACAATGGTATGGGCCACCTGCACATCTTGCACAAATGCACAAAAGACAAAAATCCCCCGTATAGTACTAACAGACTGTTGGGGCAAGTGCTGTTCGTGAGCACCTATGAAGGCCAGTATGGCGCACCAAGGGGTGGGTGGCCAGCACCACGCCCGGCCGCCTTTGTCTCCCTAGTCGCAATTATTTAACACATCGCACCAGGTACTCAATTGAGGCATACACACACACACTCTCCCAGACGCGCTCGCACAACACGTTGGGCAAATCTGCGTGACGAGTGAATTCTCAAGCGAACTCGCCGAGATTGAAATCCTTGCAGAGGCAGCGCAGTGTGGTTTTGTGGTGCAGTTATTTATACGAAACACGGCAAAGCGGGTTCGTACGGGTGCTCAATCCCACACTACCGAGTCACCGATATAATTATCCGTCAGCCAGACGTTTGTGTGCGTGGCAGGGCAAGCCATGGCAGGCTCGGAAGCCGACCAAATGCCCACTAATGTCCGGCTAATAGAAGCCGCACCGGTGCTGTGTCGAATTGTCACGGTCGCGCTCTGCGCAGCTCTCCCCATCTGTGTGCCCCGCACGCTCTGATTGGCGCCACGTCGAGCTATCATTTGTGGCCATGTCGCTTCTGAAAAACAAATTAATACCTCGGCGGGCTTTGCCTGGTAGGATGGGGGATGGTTTAGTTTCATTTGTACGCTTATGGGTGATTTGTTTTCCTTTCTCGTACTTTTCACTACCATTGTGTTTCTTTTGTGTGTCGTTTGTTGTTGCAACGTCCTTACCCGCCCCGACCTTGACGTCTGTGAAAAAGTGCTTTGTAGCTCATCGGATTCCTCCGGAAAAAATACGCCTTCTGATTCTGACGTCAAATGTTTCACTCCGCGTGTTGGGAGCGCCTTAGAATTAATTTGCTGGAGCAAAACGTCGGACATCGGTTCCCGAAAATTAAAAATAAATAAAAAAGCACGTACGCGGTACGACCCGAAAACGTTTCGGAGAGCTACAAAAGTAACGCCACATTGGACGAAGCGAAATGGGCAAAATTCAAACACGTAAAAAAGTATATATATGTGTGTGTGTATTTTTGCTGCCCCGGGGCGAGATTTATATGCGGGTAGTTTTGACAGAGGGCGACGCCTGGCGTGTTTGGGCATTGTCCCTAAGAGGAGGTAGTTTAATCGGGTACATAATTTGTGGCGTATATATGAAAAATACGCAATGCGTGACTTAATTTCACACCGCGTGCAATAATTTATTTTCTTTTTTAAATAGTTCTATTGTGTGTGCTCATGCATCCTGTGGTCGGAATGGCCCCGCTGATGGGTTTTCTTGTGTCGACCACTTCCTTGGAGTTCTTACAAAAGTTATTTTATACTCTTTGGTTCTATTGTGTAAAGTCACGTAGGTGAAAATAAAATAACAAAAAATCACGACGTTTCGGCCACAACACAAGCGGCCTTCATCAGGTGAAGGGACGAGACTGTCTGGAGGACAGCGCTGGATTTTTTTGTTATTTTATTTTCACCTACGTGACTTTACCCAGTAGAACCAAAGAGTATAGATCCTAGCAGTCACGAAAGCTTTAAATCTAGAAAAGTTATTTTGTCGCGCAGGCGGTGGGGAATGGTCGGTCCTGTTTTTTGAGATCGCCGTGAAAGAGAGGGAGCGAGAGAGCGAGAGAGCATGCTGCACTTGCGCACCCTGTAACCCGACGCTCCTGCAGACACGAGGTTTCACTGAGCACGAGTTAAGGAGCCACTTTAACACGTAGGCTTTCGCGACCGGTATTATCCATAATCAAGGTTTTTTGTTGTTGTTGTTGGGTTAGATCGCGTAAATATACCACTACAGGAGGACTTATTCACGATTCTGGCTAATCGCCTGGCTAAGCTGGACGTTGTAATCACCGGCGAAACGTCACAGTACTCGAGTTGCAAATGTAGCAGTGGGTTTTACTCTCCAACACGCAGTCCGGTGTGCTGTTTTGTTTTACGCGACGAACCTTGCTGATTATCGGAGGCGCATTTAAAGAGGGCTGAGCAATTGCTCGACGACTCGACCCTTGTGCATGGAGGAGAGACGATTCGACAACAACAAAAACAATTACAATTGTTCCCCCCTCCACGTGGGTACAAACATATGCTTTGAAGTTCGCTGGTCTGTCATTTACATGCCGTCTTCTCTGGGTTAAAAGGGGCACCTTCTTTCTCCTGTCATTTAAAAGTGTACGTCTGGGGGCTTTCGTCTTGCGATGCCGTACTTGCATTTGTGTGCGTCTGTGAGACACCGAATTTCTGGAACTTTATTGACGCCCTGACACATGTCTCGGTTACGTCTTACACTTTGCCGAGTCGTCTTATAATCCGGAGAATACGGTAAATCTTTTATTAATGGAGAATTACAAAAAAAACACATGAGCTGCACTTTTAATACCATTTATAAATTTGTCACTGTAATAAATCATAGATTTTGCTCATTTATTTCCCCCCTCCCCCCATGAGTCATGAATAGCCAATGCATCCAACGTTAGGAAAAATAACATACGTGCAATGTTAATATTGGGATATCGTTGACGCAATGGTTAAGCACACAATAGCACCATGAACCAAACAACCCGAGTTCCATTTCCGGCCTGTGGGGAATGATATTCTCGTCCTGCCTCCTTCACAGACCAACACTGACCAGCGTGGTGAAGTATGGTCAAACAACCCCTTTTGATCAACGCGGCAGGATGAGTGGCCTCTTTCGAGCCAACGGTGGCCCAACAAAAGTGCTGTAATAAAAATAAACATTTTAGTTGTTCATAGTAATAGGTTTTACCCTTTTAGCTGGCACAAAAACTGACACCTTTGTGCCAGTTAAAAGGGTAAAACCTATTACTATATCTTGTTACTGGCGAAGGAGGTCTCATAATGTGCATGCTCACCCCGAGCTCTCAATACTCTGATAGTGCGCTGTTTTTGAGTTGTACGCCTTTTGGTGTCATCTGGTCCAACACCAGTGGAGACTAGGCTCTAAGAAAAGCCGTCTCGGGTGTGGACCAATCAAATTCAAGGACAGTGCATATTATTATAAGAGTTGTCTCTTTTGTTTGCATTTTGACTGCTTGTGTTGTGGTTATTGCAAACATGATGCCTTGAATAAAGGTGTCAGTTTTTGTGCCAGTTAAAAGGGTAAAACCTATTACTATATCTTGTTACTGGCAAAGGAGGTCTCATAATGTTAGTTTTTCATTTAGAGTTTTTTTTATTGTTGTTATTGTTGAGCCACACATACTTGGGTCGAGGAGGCGCTTTCACGTGCAGGGAAAGTTCCAATAATAATTATAATAATAATTTCAATACCAAAGTCTCACGCAAGCAAATAGGTAGCATGTTTAGAATGCGGCTGCTAGGGTGTTCACCAGAACAACTTCTTCACACCACACTACGCCTGTGTTGGCCTCCCTGAACTGGCTTTCAGTTTCACATAGAATACAGCTTAAAATCCCATTGTTAACTTACAAAGCAGTGAACCATCTTGCCCCAGCCTACATCACTGACATGCAGCACCCGTATGTCCCCTCAAGGTCCCTAAGGTCTGGGGATGCAGATCTTCTCTGCATTCCCACATCGAGGCTTCGGTCTATGGGTAACCGGGATTTTTCCCCGTGTAGCCCCACGCTATGGAACGCTCTTCCACGAGGTATCAAAGGGATCTCTGGGTCTGTGGACAATTTTTAAAAATGCGTCTTAAAACCTATTCATTCATCCGTTTCCGCTTATTAAACTTGTAGTTAATTTTGTAAATTGATTCTTAGAATGTATTTATAATGTGATTAGTTTTTATGCTGAGTGTCTGCTGCTGCTGTGTCCTGTACAGCGCTTTGAGGTCCTTGATTTAAAAAAAAGCTATATGAATGGAATTAGTGTTATTGTTTTTATTATTATCTTGGAGCCACAGGATTAGGCAATGCCAATGCAACCGATATCTGGCTGCGTGATCCGGCAGTGACGTGTCACGCCACCCTCAGCGAGGTGTCCACCGATCGGGCGCTGACTTTGCTTGCAAAAATATGTGTTCGTTTAATTCTTATGGGTTTTTTTAAAAAAAGCGGGTATGACGTTCGACACACACGGCCCCGTCAAGCCGCCACGAATTGCAGTTGAGAGCACGGGAGCGCGCGTCATTTCATTTAGCGTAATTATGATTCTAAAGTAGCTTGTTTTACGGGAGTAAGTGCATTTGTGATGTACGCTGCCGGAGCTTTTCGGCTTTCTCTACTTGTTAAAGCAAATCAACGATTGGCTGAACATTTATTTTGCCAAATTCCAGTTTAAATCAATCTTTCTTGTTTTACTCCCAAACAAAAAAAACCTCAATCATTTTTTTGTAATGTTTAATTTTCGTTTCAATCGTTTGTCTTTCTGCTATGTACACATTGCCCATCATTCTGTCTGCACAGAGATTGTCTCCCCTCCCCCACCCCACCACTGCTGTCTCAGTGCTTGGCGGTGAGAGGTTTCGGGATGTCCTGCGTCAACCAGGGCTGCTGCCCTCTCACTGTTGCAAACCCACGAACGTGAAATCCCAACGTTCTCTTTTTCAGGGGTTCCACCAAAAAAATTATCGCGAGATGCAAAAGCACAAAAAAACGCGTACATTTGGTCGACATTGTCCGCAAATCCATCGGTGCATTTTGTGGGGTGGGAATTAAAAAAAAGTAAACGTTATTTACGGAATCTGCACCGTGAAGTGACGGTGTGGTGCTACGCTCGACTAGCATTGGCTTGACAAAAAAAAGGGCCGTGCCTGTAGTGATGCACGGGGATACGCAACACAGTGGGAACGCTATAACGGGGTTTCAGTGCAGCCGCTGGCACACAGGTGGGCAAAACTTCATCGTGACGCATTGACAATGCAACGCTATCTTCTCTGGCAGGTGTTTACAAAACCGCAGGTGCGCAGCAGCTCAAACGAAAAAAAAACACTTGCAATAATTCCTTCACCGAAAGCGTCTCAATCAATGTGCCTTACTTTTGTTCTGTTGTCTTCCAGGGCAGAGGATTGTAAAGAAAATGGCGTGAACGTAGTACTCACCAATGCGGTGAGTCCCGTCCCAAATATAATGGAAGTCCCTTGGTCCTCCAAAAATAACGCGAACAGTGTGAACCTCGTTATTCGCGAGGGATACGTTCCGGAGTTGCTCGTGAACAGCACATTTTGTGGGTGATATTGGCCTGCGAATATCGTACGCGCAACGTCTGCAGATGCTTCTAGAGCTTCAAGAAGTTATCTCACATCTCATGATTTCGTCACTATTTCACATCACATTCCCACTCGCCACTTGATCTCATCACTTTATTTCTATCTCTCTCCGTCTCGAGATGTATGCAGTCGTGCCGAATTCCAGATGCGATTCACAGATAACCAACATCGCAGACAGCACGTTCGTGAACGAGGGAATACTACACGTTGTTTCATTTGTTACCAAGCGAGAGCTCGTTGAGAGAAGACCACGTCCCCTTTTGCAAGAGAAAAGCCTCAGGGGGGGGGGGGAATTTACAGTTTGCGCGCCGCTGCTATGAACGCAGTGAACCGAGTTGTATTTTCCAAGCCTTCGCTGTCATCGGTGGCGAGTGACATCCGGGCTGATACTGGACATCCCCCTCCACCAATCCGCACTAACCGGCGTGCGGTGAAGTATGGGTTAAAATAAAAATGTATCCTGCCCATAAATGACATGGCCACCGGCAGGCCTACGTCCAACAGTGGATTGGCAAGGGCTGGAATTCGTTGTTATTCCGTATGATTTGTACTCTACGTAAATAACACAGCACTCGAAGTGTGCAAAAACAAGGCGTGAAAAAAACATACCTCAGCCGCGTCATGTAAACAAACGGATTGGTATTGAGAAGTCAAATATCACACGTACATTATTTACAAACTTGACTTTGCATATACTATATACATGGGCATAGAAATGTAAACTTCGTCACAAAACGCCGTGCAGGAATTTTGAAGCTCATCACAGGGGGCACGCCGGGCGGTACGTGCGTTTCGTTTGAAATCAAGGTGCAGTTGATATATAACGTATGACGCGATTAGATTTTTAAAAAATCTTTGCGAAAAGAGAAGTTTAAATTTTCATTTATTAGGTATAGCCCTGTGAGCCATGCGGCTCTTGAGTCGGGTGCAACCGCAACAAACAAAATATGAACAGAGAAACATCTTAAAGCGGCGACGCGCAACAGAAACATCCTGGGATAAACCAGCAAATCTTCCAGTTCTTGAGCCTGGACTGCAAGAAGCGGTCAATCCGTGTGCGGCACTTGCTTGACCCAACGCAGGAACCAACACCTTAATTGCTCTTCGACTTCGGTTCTGGGTCCCTGGCTGGCAGTGCATGGAATAATTGATGGGCCGTTTGTGTTGTCACTCTCCGACTTGAGAATTCGTCCATTTTCCCAGCCGTCTCCCATGACCGGTTTAATGATAATGGGATCGTTGGGGGCACCGTTTTGGCAGCTCTGGTTGTGATCTCCCTTCACCTTGGCCGGTTTCACAATCTCATAGATCGGCTGCTTGTGGTCTAAGCGCATCCAGTTCGCGATATTTCGACTCCCCGAGTCCTCCTTGGGAGCCCTTAGTTTTCTAGTCACCTCAGTGGATGTTTTGTTTTATTACAGTTTGCCAAAATCTATTCATGTGCCTAAACAGCTGCGAATTCTGTAATCTCATTAAAGTGGCAAATAACCCATCCTTTCCGCCCGTATTGGGTGGCGTCCGTGCTTCTCGCTTATTCGTTAATTCAGTGGGGTAGGCACCTAAATAAATCGTGGTTGCACGAATCCTCCGCGTGCACCCAAACACGCGACGTTAAAAGACAAACGCGACGATTTAAGAAATGAGGGCGTCATGAGAAGTGTTCGTCCTTTTTTTTTCTCGATCCAAAGCCTCTCGGAAATCCACCCCCGGCGTAACTTTGCGTCCATGGGCACAGAAACGTCGCCTCTTAAAGCAGGGTGGTTGGGGCCGTCCATAAATGACGTCACGCACCTAGGGGGGGGGGTCAGACATTTGTGACGATGTGTGACGAGGGAGGGGGGGGGGTTTGAGAAATGTGACATCATATCAAAATGCGCAACTTTAAATAAATATAGACAACACGTTCTACTTAATTAAATAGACTTTTTAATAAATGTTTTCTCCTACAACATCAGAGTGCAGCGCCACATTAAATACGCACTACAATGACAATAGTTTAAAGCGATTTGAAGCATGTTTTATTTTCAAAATGGAAATATTTTTTGGGAGGGGGGCAGAGCTTTGTGACGTCATATTTGAGGGAGGGGTCTGACTTTTTGTGACGCCGTGTGACGAGGGGGGGGAGGTCAATAATCGTCCTAAATCGCGTGACGTCATTTATGGACGGCCCCGGTCACCCTGACGAGCCATCCGTGCGTATGGCTGGCAGCGTGAGCAAGCGAGCAGGGTGGGGGGGGGGGGGTAGGAGCAAGCGGGGAAACGTTCACTAACGCGGGGGGCTCAGCCGTCGTCCCACCCCCCCCCCCTTTGAATTAAATGTTTTCGAAACAACAGAATCGTACCGCGTTGTAGATGATGAACGAGCAGCAACAATGACGGTGGTGATGACAGCGAAGTTCTGCACGTCAGTGATATGGCACATGTCCGGGTTATTTATTTGTTACGAACCAGTCCTTTTAACAACGGATCGGCGCTCCATGTACTGGACGCCTGTGAGCTTCATAGCTCATTGGATTTATCCAGTCTCAATACTGAATGTTGTTATCGTTGTTGTTTTAGCATTGGTTGTGACTTTTCCCTTTCAATTGCGTGGATAATTCTTGCTTCTTAAAATTTCGCCCGAGCCTACCGTTGTTTGCGACACTCCTATATTTGCACACTTTTCGTTCAACGTAAATATTGAAATGTAAAAAAAAAGGCAAAGCAAAGCCTCGGTCTAACATGTACCGTCCAGCGTGGTGAAGTATGGTCGTGTGCGACAGCAGCTGATCCACACAAACGAGCCCGTACGTGTACACGTGCAACATTAAAACATTAGAAATTTTCCCCAGCGCGAGTGGAACCGCACAACGCCCCCCCCTCTCACACCCTCGTTCACAAAACGGAATAACAAAACCGAGACGATAATAATTAAATAAATGTCCCCCCCCTCCCCCCAGCTGGAGGGTGTCACACGAGTTCACTCCCCACAACCCTTCCCCGCATTGAGCCGTGGAGCGTTCCGCAACGGCGCTGACCCAGCGGATCTTTCTCTCTTTGCGTCCCTCTTGACACGGATTCACACTCCCCCGGGGGGGGGGGGGATATTGTTACGGGAGGGGGGGGGGCTTGCTTTGTGGCGTGATGGTGCGCGTGCGTTCGTGCGTATTCAAGTGCTTTGCGGCTCTTGAGATATTGAGCGAGGGGTTGGTTGTGTGTGTGTGTGTTGGTACCGAATTCGGAACAAAAACAATAAATGTCTCTTCTTGTTGTTATTTTGTTTTGGTTGCCGACCCCCTGATGTAGCCCCTTTGGTCCAAGGCGCTTTACAACAATTATAAAGGTTTTTTTTTTTGGGGGGGGGGGGGGTTAGATCGCGTAAATATATTAATGTGTCGTTGAACCCGCCACCACCCGACACAGTCAATTATTAAAGTTTTTTTCACGTAAACAGAACGTGCCAATTCGTTAATAGTACAGCACTAACCGGCGTGTTGGGAGAGAATTGTCAATGTTGTGGATTTACAACATTTGCAAAGGAGGAACGGAAGCAGGTGAGTGACGGTGATTGTTGTCTGTGCAGTGGGAGTTTATTCTCACTGCCCAAGAGCCCTGACCTCGGCACCCCCGCTGGCTAGGGCCTCGTGGTGTTTGACACAGCGACTGGACACGAGGCGACGGGCTCCCGTTTAAAAAAACGAATTTAAATGAAGCGACGACGACGAGAACAACAAACATGTACAAACGGCGTCATTGTTGCGCAGTCTGACAGTCACACGTTTGATCACCTGGAGATTAAAAGTGAGGAATATGGAGAGGGCACAAGTGGGAGAGTTGCAGTGGTCGGTATTTTGTGGGTGATGAAGGCCACGATGGGCGTCTTGTCGCCAGCTGGGGTAAGGAAGTGACACACGAGGGAGACGTCGCGTGCGTGGAGCTTTGGTGTCCTGCAGAATTGCGATGAAGTGGGACCAGAATGAGGCCTCTTTGCTCAGCGCGATATCAGAATTTAAAAGACGGACGCTCAAACTGGAGCCTCTGCTGAGAACGGACTTTTATTAGTCAGTGAGCTTCGGTGTTGTTGCTGCTGCTGTTGTTGTTGCAACGCTTGTCTGGGGCACGGCGCGAGTGGGCTCAACGATTCGTAATTTTATTTGCAGGTCCACGGTGAACGAGGCCAGCAAGGGCACCTGCTTGGCGGAGGCGAGGAGACCAATGGAGAAGTGACGAATGGCACCGGTGAGCTTTCATCAATTTTCATCGCGGCGATGAGGCCACCGCACTTATTGCATTTACTGGCACGGCCGTCATCGCTTTCACGCGCTATTCAACGTGTGAAGGTACGGGCTGATTCCATTCATAGACAACCCCCACACCGATGTCTAATGACCCTCCTGGTGGCTTCTCAGTGGGCGAGTGCAAACGGTGGCTCCGTATCTTGCAACGGGAGAGGGCGTCAAGGGAGATGTGATAAGCGCGTTGAGATTGGTGGGAGCCATGTGGAGGGTTGGACATTATAAATTTGTTTACTCTCTAGAATTTCTCGCTATTATTTGAATGAGGTGGGGTGTGGGGGTAGTTGGGTGTATCTAGAGCATGCACACAAAGACAAAGATCCCCCGTATATTTGGAGTTTGCATGTCTCACTCCCCCGTGGCCACGTAGATTTTCTCCGGATCCTCCCGATTTCCCCCCCCCCCCCCTGCGTTTAGGGTATATTGGCTGCGATAAATTTCCACGCGATAAGCCACTTCCATTGAACATTTCATTCGTGATAGCCAGGTCGCTTCTGAAAAAGACGTCTCTGATGGAACGGGGTCGTGTTGACGTGTGTCTCCGAATGTGTGTCAAACCGCCCCCACCTTCCCCAACACTGGCTGTCCGTGTCCCTTCCCCCAGGGCTTGGCCGAGGGCGTTTGCCAAAAAGTATTTTCCGTTTATTTTTAGAGCACGCGAGAGAGACAGAGGCGGCGGGAGGCGGGGGGTGGTGTAATTTGCCTTGCGCTAAGAAAGTCTCCAAAGCTTGCAAGCCATCACACGGAGTCGATTTTTCGTTGCAGCAAATTAAACTTTGGCGTCGACCTTCGCCGACTCTCTGAGCCTACGAGCTGCTCTGCCAGGGGCACCGGACCAAGTTATTTTGCTGTGTAAAGTTGCGCACGCTCTGCAGGGCCCCATGCTAGAACGACCTGCACTTTTGTTTTGTACGTGACCTCCGTGTTATATTTGCCACGGTGTACAATAATTATAATAAGAGGATGAACCTCTGAACAGGATCTCGTACTTGGTGATGAGACATAGCAATGTAAGGAGACAGGTCGGGGAAGACGAAGCACCAGGTGGATAAAATGCCTGGAAGAGAAGCGATTGAGGTCGAGTGAGGCTGTAATTATTGGCTAAAGAAAGCAAACCACGGTGGAAATGTGTCCAGTCACATCGTCGCTAATGGGCTGACGGACGGGGACATACAATGCATTGTAAGAATCGTAAATTAGAGCCCTCTTGTTATTCCACTGCTGGGTAATAACAATAATTTACACTTCTAAAGCGCCTTTTACTCAGAGGTCACACACACACGCAGGCTCACACCAATAAAATGGAACCCTCAAAACAAAGGATGAAAGCTTCACCGTGCTATGTTAGTTACAAGGGGTTCGTTTGTCACATTTCACCTCGCTGGTCAGTGCGGGGGGGAAGGAGGGATGGGTAAAAGGCCGAGGCCAAGGGACCCGTTCAGGTATCACTCGCCACTGATGGCTGCCCCACAGTTTGTTGATCGGAAAGGTCGCGTGTGGAAGGATAAAGTGGGGCTGCGTCCCACGTCTTCCGAGACAACTCTGGCCAGCGCCAAAGTGGAAGCCAAAATACAATTTTGGCTCGTCGCCTGATGAAGCTGCTAGTTTTGTAATCACCGGCGAAACGCCGTAGTCGAATTGTAAATGTTGCGGGTTTACTTTCAAACACACAACCCGTGTGCTGAAATGGTAACTGATTGGCACGTCTTGTTTACGCGACAAACCTTGCCAATTCGCTGTGTTGGGCGGTGGCGGGTTTAACTACGCATTTATATTACGGACACATTTATATTTACGCGATCTGACTAAAAAAAACCTTTTATTATAAAAAATTCCAGACTCAAGCCTACTAGAGCTCTTTCGAGTGGAGACCCTTTGGCCAGCAGTGGCATGGGCAAGCAATTGCAGAGATTCATCTTCATCTTATTACCCTTACGCATTCATCACGATTATGACAAAAACACACTTAGCCAAAGAAGCCACAATAAAGAAACACTCAACGCATTCGTCAATAACGTGTGCGTTGCCTTAAAAAAAAGAAGAAAAAACTATCAGAGGCGCGACGTTTAAGGCAACGACCCTTCTTCACGGCACACAAATATAAACACAAATGACCGCCGCACCTATACGATCGGCATGGTTGGCCACGGGCGGTGCAAAAAAAGGTCAACATCATGCTATACATACGAGTGGATACGAATACATACCAAAGGCAATTGAAGGGAGAATATAACTCATCGCGTGATTCAGCCACGACCGCTGCAGTCATCGTGCGAGCGCGTTTGCGGGCGGGGAGGGGGGCGTGCTGATTGTGTCGCGCGGTTGGGTGATATTGGGTCCGATGAAGGCAAAAAAAAGTCACGTCGTCTAAAAAAACCCAGCCCAACCAGTTACGCGGGGTTGCTGCTGCTGCTGCTGCCTGCTGTCTGCTGGGTCCACTCTGCGACCGCGCGCGGCAGCTACCACGTTTGTACGTCGCGCACCGTGCGTAGCCCCCCGCGCTCATCGGAGGTGCGGGGGGGGGTGGGGAAGGACGACACAAACTAAAGACGCACACACGAAAACAAAAGCTGTCCGAAAGCAATGAAGTGTTCAATCTAGATGCGTACGTGCATGACGCCAGCGGCTTCCCAATACGGGAAGAGCGCTTTCCAGACGGCCAGCAGAAGCGCATCCGAAAGCGTGCGCTGGCTGAGCCAAAAGTCGCCGTTGCGAGGACGATCGGAGTCCGCGTGATGGTTAATGCCAACAACGGATCAAGTACACGGGCAGAGTCATTCGTTTGGTGCAGCGGTTTGAGTGATTCGTCGTTGGGATCGGGGCACATCAGAATCAACGCGCGTGAGAATCACATTTTTGTTGTTGTTGTTGCCGTGCGCTGGTGGCTACTATGCACGCCTGTAATCCAGAACTGTGTGGGGGCGAGGGACACACACAATGTTGTGAAACTCCCTTCCCGTGGCCGTCAAGGTGTCCGAGCCTGGCTCGTCGGGAGAATGAAGTGCAGCAAATGTGGACTCCACCTGTTCCATCTGTACGGAAAAGTGTTTCCCTCCCCCCCTTGCATGGCTGGGTATTGTCTGGGTGCTTCGGTTTCTTCCCGCGTGTGAACGCTCACGAGTTGCCCGAAAACGCCTTGAAATCCAGCGTGCTTCAAAACGACGTTAACACTTCCGATAATTTGCAACAACACCGCAATATATGTGCTGCCTCCGGGCTCTGGAGACAATGATGGCGAACAAAGTGGGAGGCTGATTTTTTTTAAGCTATTTAAAAATGCATTTGTTATCATGTTACAGTGTAGTATTATCCGTTTCTTTTTTTTCCATTAAAAACGATAGTCCCATCCATTTAAGTGTTAACATCTTTTTGAAGCGCCCTGTATAGAGGACCGCGGAGTCTGGCTAGTAGTTGTTGGTGCCAGCTAACCCCGTGGCTGCTTGTCCGTGGTGCCTCGCACCTCTGAGCCGTCCCCTCTCTCTCTCTCTCTCCCTTGAAGCGTGAGTGAATGCTGTGCGTGTTACAGTATTCACTCACGTGACTGCAGGAATTCATATTCTTGGTTTTACCGAAAGAAGATTAATTTGAAGATAATTATTTTCCTTTGCTTTGGCACCAGGGGCTCAAAGCCAACTGTTTGAAGGCAGGGGCGGGTAACTTGAACGGAGGCCCGTGGGGTGGCGTGGTGGCATTAGGAGCCGTCCATAAATGACGTCACGCACCTATGGGTGGGGGGGTCAGACATTTGTGACGATGTGTGACGAGGGGGAGGTGGTTTGAGAAATGTGACGTCACATAATTACGCGCAATTTTAATTATAAATATAGACAACACGTTCTACTTAATTAGACTTTTTAATAAATGTTTTCTCCTACAACATCAGAATGCAGCGGCACATTCAATACGCACTACAATGACAATTGCAGTCACGAAAGCTTTAAATCGAAATACAATGACAATAGTTTAAAGCGATTTGAAGCATTTTTTGGGGGGGGGGGGGCAGAGCTTTGTGACGTCATATTTGAGGGGTCTGACTTTTTGTGACGCCGTGAGACGAGGGGGGGGGGGCGGGTCTAAAATAGTACAAGATCGCGTGACGTCATTTATGTACGGCCCCTTAACACAAACCTCAGGCCACTATTGTCACGAACAAGAGGGCCTTGTTGTGACAGAAGTGACATAGCCAGCCGGTGATAAAATTAGAAAGTGTCGCCATGTCCAAAATATTGCCCTCGAGCACCCGATGGGTGTTGTTATGATGCGGGCAGTGTTGGCCTCTTGTGTGGCCCTGCGCCGCATGAAGTCAAAATCAAGTCGCCGCCTGCATCTGCGTCCACAAGTTCTCCACCGCCTTGCCGTGAGGGATTCGACTCCGTACTTTTGACACTGCGCTCGTAACCTTGCCCAGAATCACCCAATTCACTCAGCCGACACCACATGCTGCAAAATGTCGAATATCCGTCCATGTGCTGTTTTTTGGCATTTAAGCATTTGGCTCAGGGTGTGTGTACTTGTGAAGACACTGCTGCTGCCGTGGAGTCGAGCGATTTTATGGTGTGGTGGGGGGGGAGGCGTGCCTTCTCCAAGTTAACACGGTGGCGAGATGTTAACTACGTTAAGGTCGTGTGTTCGATCCCGATCCCGGCACCTGTATATTTGGGGTTTGCGTGTCTCCCTCCCCGTGGTCGTGTGGATTTTTCTCCGGGTCCTCCGGGATTTCCCCTCCACATTTAGAAACAACACGCGTTTAGAGTAATGGCCTGCTATAAATTGCCACACGATAAGCCACTTCGTTGAGCTATCATGTGTGGCCAGGTCGCTTATAAAAAAAGGGGCTATTTAGCTTAGTGGGCCTGCTATAAATTTCCACGTGAACAAGCCACTTCGTTGCACTATCATTTGTGATAGCCAGGTCGCTTCTGAAAAAGAGCGATATAGCTTAGTGGGCCTTACCTGGTAAAATCGAAATTGTTTAGTTTAAATATTGTTTTGAATAGACGCCTTAAACCGCCCAATTGCACAAACCTTGTATGTCCCCCCCCCCCTGCATATTTACAGCAAGTATGTGTGGCTAATGCAGACATTATTCCTTGAAAAAGCTTTCTGTTTGGTGTTTTAACATCTTAACACCTCGTTTATTGCCAGAAAGGATAACACCAATTTTAACACCGGCAAGAAAGGTCTCATACATTTCTCCGTGATAAGCTCACTTTGTTGAGCTATCATTTGTGGCCAGGTCGCTTCTGAAAAAACGAGCTATCTAGCTCAGCGGGCCTTAGCTGGTAAAATAAAAAACCCGTAACAGTTTTCAGTTTTTACGTTCGCTTCGCCAGAACGTACAAACTCGGTGCTTGTCTCAATTCGACCAGAGGCGTCTCCCCCGGCTCACGCCTTGCGAGTTTTCGTGCGACGACGATAATTCATTATGTAACACGATTTTTGTCCCTGGGTAGTAAGTGTTAATTTCTAATTGCGTATGCCTCAAAAGTATAGAAAATGGCTATTATTCCCCACAACCTTTGATTTTGTGACCAGGACTTAATGTGAAGGAATGACACGAACGCACACCACGTTTTCTCATTGAAAATAGGTACATTTCAAAATTATTACTGTCCTGGTCACAAAAGCAAAGTTTGTGGGGAATAATAGTCATTTTCTATACTGTTGAGGCATAAGCAATTGGGAAATAACACTTACTACCCAGGAACAACAAAATAATACATTTGTTACACAGTGTTGTTAATGGAGTGGATTCTTAACTTTGCTTTTGTGTCCTCGTCACAAGAGCAAAGTTTGCGGCGGGGTGGGGGGGGTCGCGATTTGCCCGTGTCGGTGCGGTCCTCGTGTCGAGCGAATAGCTTCAAGGCCGTTCACCAATGACGCTTGCGACGGGGCGGGGAGGGTGCTGGGTGGGGTTGAGACGGGGAAAGGAAAAGTAGGTCACAGAAGCCATAAATCCTGGGTTCTGTATAAAACAAAACAGAAATGTCAGTCTGGGCCTCCCCGAGGGAAAACCAGTTGATCAAAAGCAGGTTGTTGGCGGGGTATTTTTTTTCTCTCTCTCTCTCTCTTCCGGGGCGGTGTGAGGTTCGGTTTTTGTTGTTTGGCCAACACCAGTAGCGCAGGGAGGTTTTTTTTCGCTCGGCTATTACCAACCCCCCCCCCCCCCGAGAAACCTGTTGGAAAAATCCCAAAGGGCACTGGCCGTGTGCTCCATCAGACCAATATAGCTCTCTCACACGTCCTCTCGGTAGAGAGACGTAACGTTGCAACGTCGGTGTGTGTGTGTGGTGGCGCCTGTGTGGTCTCTGCCGATCCCGTTTCACTCAAAGCGGCCCCCTGTTCAAGTTATCGCAAGGGTTACGGACGGCCCTGTGTGTTACTCGAGAATACAGGCGCCCGCATGGTCCTGCAAATTTTGCGGGCTGGTGATATCTGCCACGACATCGGAAAGTTCAGGGGCAAGTTTATTTCACTTTCTTAATCTGCCTCCTTCGTACGAATACGATGATGCTCGCCGGCACAGCGCCATGTTTCAACCATTTCTGTGGCACCATGGAATGTGTCCTTGCTATCGTTCCTCCATGCAGGCACTTCTGTTCTTCTCCCTGGCATTTACCCCCCGCTCGTGTCAGGGTTTGCCTTCCCGCGCCCCTCTCCTTCATAGCCCTGGTCTCACCACTTGAAGCAGCTCTTTCTTCATAGCAAGGCCGTAATTATTAATATATATTGGGGGGGGGGGGGGGGAGACATCCCTCCCCCCCCTCAATATTAAAATATGCTCAAAATGTCCCCCTCAATATATTGCTATAAAATAGATTTCTGTTTATATGATTCTGGTTATGGTTGTACTTTATTGATCCCTAATCTCTGCCATTACATACAATGAAACAAGAAAAGGTTAAAAAAATGTAATACAATACACTATTAGACATTCTAAAAAATAAATAAAAAGTCCATCCTATGTGTTAGTGAATGTTTTAAATATTTTAGGCAGGAAATTCGTTTTCAAATGTAAAAAAAATTTCTGGGGGTAGACCCCCAGACCCCCTGGAAGATTTGGTCCCCCCCAATGTTTATTCCATGGCTACGGCCTTGCTTTATAGGCCTGCCTCTGTGTCTTCGCCTCTCCTGGTGTTTCCACGTTCAACAACCGTTCATCCGATTTGGTGTCCATCTCGTTATGAACATGTCCTCCCTACGCAGGCACTTGAGCTATTGCCACGTATTTTCAGGCTATTCTCTTACATAATCCATTGCAATATGGTGCGAGTCTACCAGGTAAAGACCCACTGAGCAATGTAGCTCTTTTTCAGAAGCGATCTGGCTACAAATGATAGCTCAACAAAGTGGCTTGTCACGTGGAAATTTATATGGTGGGAAAAACCGGAGGACCAAAATCCACGCGACGACGGGGAGAGAGACGCGCAAACTCAAAATGTACAGGCGTCAGGGTTTGGGATCTAACCCATGCCCTCCTGTATACCAGGCTAGGCAGGGCACGTAGGGTGGTTGGTACAATGCCCTGATGTCCCTCTTTGTAGCCCGGTGCCTGAGGCCCTCTCTGGCCTGTGGGCCCCGATGCAAGTTTCAGCAACATGCACACTCAATATCTCTTGGCACCGGTACCGGTCTTGTCCTGCTGTAAATATCTTAAACCCCCACTCACTTTCCACGCCCGGTGCCATGACTTGCGGCACACGCCCTGGCATTGCTGCTCCTCTGGAAGGCTCGACGGTGTAGCAACGCCGTGCAAACCTGCGAAGCGCCCGCCTCACTTTGCCATCCGCCGAAATCCGTGCGAATGCGACACCTCCCAGGCCTGGCACGGACCTTTGCCACTCCGCCCCACCGAATGAAGGTCTCCCCACAGCCGATGCGCTTCGTGGGGGTTATTTCCTTCTCCAAGTTGGGCAGTGGGGGCTTGGTGGAGGCGAGGAGCCATTTCCATAACGCAGGACACGTGTTCACACGAGGGTTGCCACGTCTTGAGGTCTGAGGGACAACAAAAAACGGGGACATATCATGGGGAGAAAAATAATGTCTCACAGTAGTGGAAGAGCGGTGAACTACTGTACGTGTGCACACATTGCCTTGAGCGGTGCGTTGCTATTACAGTATTATTAACGGCAACTGACGAAAAAAACTTTACTTTTAACGTCCCAGGGAAGAAAAAAAAAGACATATTCCAGGACAGCTACAACAAAAAAAGCGAACGATCCTGGGAAAACACCAGGACAGATGGCAGCCGTACTTCACACTGCAGCAAATGAGCAATGTCAGCATGGGGCAGTGAAACGGCTTGGCTGCTGAGAGTTTTCTGAGAACTGGAAAGTAAAAAGTGAAATAAAACAGTGGTTTTATCTGTAGGAAATAAGCTGGCAGCAGCTACATAAGTTGCGTTACTGTGAATAAGCTCTCCCCCCTCTACCCCCTCCCCCCCCCCCCTCATGATCTTCCAAATGCCAGCTGCTTGCATTGGAATAACTAGCGTGATGGCTTTGGCACTCCTGTCATGCAAACATAACATCGGTTTGTCTTCAAGGTAGGGCAGCTGCTGCCTGGGTTTGCCGTCCCGCCAACAATGGTTGCACTGCGGGGAAGAAAAAAAAATGTATCGTTAAGAAACTAGAAATGTATCTCGCTCGTTCTGGGCAGGTGCAGCACAGCAGCAGGAGGACCTGAGCCCCAGCAGCGCCACGGAACGGCAGGACGACGAGAGTGCGGATCCAGTCGCTGGCGACGAATGTCCGGACAAGGCGGCGGACGAACCCCCGTCGCCCAAGGCCACCTCGTGCTGCCCGAGACGACAGCGGCGGTGGGGCCGGAGGGCAGAGGGCCGCAACGTCGCGACGGCGGCGCGGAGAGACTCGGGGGCGGACGACAACCTCTACGAGGACGTGGAGAACGCCGTCAGGGGATTGGTTCAGGCGGAGGGGACCCAGCCGACCCCGGCTCCGCGACCCTCCGAGTCGCGGGGTCAAGTGGCCCCGCAGGCCGAGCCCTGCTACGCGGAGGTCCGGAAGAAGACCAAGGAGGGCGGCGCCGTGAAATCGACCGTGGGTGCCGCTTGCGGAGATCCGCGAATCGCGACGCGTGCGACTGCGCTGTGCGACGAATACGCCGCCCTGTACACGCACGCACGGCCGCTTTTGTTAGTCCACCGCAGGGCGAAGGCCTCCTCCAAGCCGTGCGTGCGGGCCATGGCGGTTGTTTGACTGTACCTCGCGACGGTTACAATAACCTCACCACCGTTACGGTGATAATGATGATGCTAATTACGGACAAACTACCCCCGTGACTGACACAGGCACGGGGAGGCTTTCATCCAGCAGTGGATTGACATGTAACTAGCAGCCCGCATGTGACCGTCCGTCCATCCGTCCCTCCCTCCGGACGTGAAAGCCAACCAGCCAGCAAACCTTTTTTCTGATATAGTATGATAATTTGATGAGCAGCTCCGTAATTACATACATTGTATTTTATCTAAGAGCACTTGGCCGTGCATTTGCTCAGGATGCACAGCTGGGCGGGATAGAGGGTGGGGGGCAGGACGTCACGTGCACACCACTTGCCTATCCGTGCGACATTTAGCCAGGCAGCTAGCCAGCCAGCTAGCCAGCAAAACGTATTTCTAATATGAGTATGAAGACATTGCCTATGACCAAAATCACGCAGAATGTGCCCGAGCTCTTCACAGCACGTACTGAGTCTGGATAGTATTTGGATGGGTGACTACCAGCATGCCCAAGCAGGTCATCATAGCAGAGGCAGTGCAGCTAAAATCCATTGTTGTCTTGTACTTCTATGCTCCCAAGTCAATGTTCCCACGCCTTTTCCACCAACCCGAAAGTGTGGTCAAATAACCCCCATGATCTGCACGGGGGAGTGGGGAGGCCCTCATCCAGCAGTAGACTGACACAACCGCCGTACGTGTACAACAACAAAAGCTTGCTGTTAACATTGCCATCAACGGGTTGCGTGTGACATGCAAAGACAGCGCGAGCCAACCAGCTGCACTGCCATCGGTCTTTCGGACCGCCCTTCCACGTGCCCATCGCGCCCCCCGTGTTTACGCACGTACGTATGTTGAACTTCTTCCACAACGTGCGTAGCCAATCGGTCATAACCCAGTGTGTTGTTTTCTTTTCGCTCTGCTGCAACAGCCGAGGGAAAACAAAAAGATGGTGGCGTTCAAGGACAGCAAGGGAGAGTGCCACTGTGATAGTGAAGAGGTGGCACCTCCGCCGCCAGAGAAGACCTGGGCGCAGCAGAGGGCACAGGAGGAGGAGGGGAACGCCCCTGCCAGCGACAGCAATCCGACTGCAAGCGGCAGCGGTGGACAGGTGAAAACTAGTCATTTGGTTTTGTCGTTTGCGCTTTGGTGGACCAACGAGGGCTGGTCTCTCCGGACCCTACGACTGTCAATGTCGGTCGCTACATTTTCCAGCCAGCAAAATAATCCAATAGTGAGTCAAGACAGCCCGGGACACAGCCTAGGGGCGCCACGGTGGCTAGGAGATGTTAACTACCTCGCCTGGTGTACATGAGGTCGTGGATTCGATCCCGACCCCGATGCCTGTACATTTGGAGTTTGTGTGCTTTCCCTGTGGTCGCGTTGCTTTTTCTCCAGGTCCTCCGCTTTTCCCCTCCACGTTTAGAATCGACATGTGTTTCGGGTATTTGGCTGCTATCAATTTCGACATAAGCCACATCAATGAGCCATCATTTGCGGTTAGGTCGCTTCTGAAAAAGAGCTATATAGCTCAATGGGCCTTACCTGGTAAAAAATAAAAAATTATCGTATTAGTAGGTACGTACAGGTTAAGAGCAATATATGCCCCTTTGGGTAATCTCCTTCTGTAGACCTGTGGCCAGATAGTCCAGAGTGTAATCAATCTCACGAGATCATGGAAGGTCGGCAGCATTTAGGCTGGCTAGCGCTTGGCATGTGGGTCACCAGGTGTTGTCGACGTGGGGATGGGAGGTGGCCAGATGATACTGGAGTAGTGCCGAGTGCCACCCCTTTGTCGTGTGTGTATGGTGGGGTTTCTCCGGGTTCTCCAACTTCCTCCCAAATTGAGCCCAAAAACGAATTAATTGTTTAAGACCGAAACTGGAAGACTTCTCCACAATTCTGGCAAATCTCCTGATGGAGCTGGTTGTTGTATTCACCAGCGAAACGTCGTACTCGAATTGTAAATGTTGTGGGTTTACTCTTCAACACACCGGTGTGAAGTAGTTACTAAATGGCACTTTTTTTGACGTGACAAACCTTGCTAAATGGATGTGTCGGGTAGTGGCGGGTTAATGACACATTTATAATTTACGCGATCTCACTCCCAAAAAAGAAACCCTTCATTATTGATCATTAATGAAATTGGTCAAACGTCTCAACATAGCTGGACCCTCCTGAAACATGGACTTGAGACTCAGTTAGGCATTCCTACGCAAATTATTTGGCATTTTACAACATAAAATAATTGACATTATTTTAAATGGCTGCGATGTCTTCACCGTGTTTGTGCCAGGCTAGGTGCACCCACCGTGAGGTCGCATGGAGGCTTGAAAGTTTTCTAACAGATCATAGGACGAACCCAAGTATTCTGGGTGAACCAGGGTCTATACTACGAGATGCATCTATCGCATAGTTGGAATTTGAAAAAAGTAAACAGCACATATTAAGACAATTGTGTTCTTCTTTAAAAAGTCACACGTTGCCAGAGACACGTAGTGCTGAAGAAAAAAAACTATGGTTGTTGTTGTTGTTGAACTCTGCAGGTAAATTTACCACACCATATTTTGTTGAATCTATGCCAATAGCTCACTTTATGCTCGTGAATATTTGTGCTTGCGAAGTTGGAGAGAATCTGTCTCTTCATACAGCCTTCTTATCCGTGTAAACAAGCCAGATTATAAGTATCTGATAGTGGCTTACACTGGCGTTGTTTACACACGCAGCCTTCGTGGCCTTGACATTTCATGTGGGTCCTCGTGTTTTGAGTCCTTTATTTTTTACATCGCAGCGGATGATTTGGGTCAAATAAAGGTGAATCGTGAAATACAAAGAGGCATTGTGCTGCACCATGCCCAAACGTATATGCTCCCTGCCTTGCACGAACCCGCACTGACAAGCGTGGCTACGTTATGATCAATAACCCCTACAACCCGCGTGGCCTGGGTAGGCCCTCATCCAAGCAGTTGATTGACAGAAGGGCTACTCACGTGCGCGTAGTAAACATCCTACCTATACGAGGGATTATAAATGTTCCCAATTAAGAGTTACGCATGGACGCGGCTTCCTGTGTGCCTACACATCTGACCTGCAGCCCACATCAACTGCTCCACGGTGACAGCAGATTGGCAGTCACCCACAATTGGACTCCACCAAAAGCCAATTACAAGGCAGTTGGGTTTTGGAACGGGAACCTGTAACTGGTAACAGAGTGGCTGCCAGGACACGAGCTCATAAACCGTGAACGTAACAAACAAGACCATAATATGGGTCATCTAGCTCACTTCCAGCACAACAGAAACCCGGCATGGCTTTGGTAAAATCTAATGGCGATCGGTTGGTAGCAACTTGTTTTCCCGAGCACTTTATTTGACCGAGCGGACAGACGTACCGTGTTGAATTATTTACCGAGGACGTCGGGCGAAGGGTATTGAATTTGAGATTAGGCCACAGCTCAATTACCGTGAATCAGGAGGCACGGGTGTGCAATCCAGAGATGTCACCTGAAATATTTATGGATTTATTTTTCAAACTCGGCGCGGTCATTTTTTGCTCAGCGTTCGGAATACGCAGAAACAAAATCGAGGGAGGATGTTTCCACCTTCCCCTGAGAAACAATTATATTATATACGTTAACAAAAAATGTTCAAACACAAAAAAACAATCCAGGGGTTCATTTGGTGTGTTTATGCATGACGAATGGCTGCACACAGATAAATATTTGTATGGTCGTAAATTGTTTTACAAAGTCAGAAATACGGTTTCCAAACTTTTTTCTTCATCTCAGAATTAACAACCGTGACCGCATTAACGTTCAGTGTACAACTCGGATGAGCTCTGGGTTTGACCCCACATTGTTCTGCATGACCTTAAACCAGCTTCAACAAATAATTTGGTGCTGCTGCGTTGGCAGTGCTGCACAAACACAAACGAAAAACACTCTCAAACATCACCACTTAAACCGAAAAAAACTATCTGGCGACGTTTCAGGCAATGATCCTTCATCATTGCACATTTGACCTAGTTAACGCAACACATTCAACTCAGCTCGGTTCAATTGCCGACAAAACCGTCCCCACCCACCCACCCCGTCACGTACGAGCGAAACGTCAACACGAAGGGCGAACGCGCAGCAAAGACAAAGGTCCCCCGTGTAGCCTGTGAGCACACTGATGGGGCAAGTGCTGTTAAGCGAATTAGCACCTATGAAGGCTGGCACGGTACACAAGTGGGGGGGGGGGGGGGGAGGTGACCAGCACCACGCCCGACCGCCTTTGTCTCCCCAGTGGCGATGTTTACTACACACCGCACCAGGTATTAATTTGAGTCTGGTGGTCGTGATCGGGAATCGAACCCGTACACGGCCAGGATAGAGGGTGTACCCCACTACCACCCCCAACGTGTGTGAATTGCAGACACACAGGGCAGCGGTGGCGCGTGGTGCTCAAAGATATTTGAGCTATTTGTACAACGCGCTTGCCGACTGTCAATCCGTGTGTGTGTGTGTTGGCTGTGTAGGCATCGGCAAGGTAAGGTAAAAACAACGAGCCTACTTTACCCTACCTTTTACCTTACCACAATACAATCACTCTACCCTACCTTTCACCCTTCAGCAGGTAAGGTAAAAGGTTCAAAGCAACGAGCCTACCTTTATCCTACCTTTTACCCTTACCCCATACAAATTACCAGATCACAGGGTAATTACTGGGGTACTACTACACATGAACAAGGTTTATAACAGGTAAATGCTAGGTAGAGCGCTTTATTCATCTATAGAATACTCTCGATTCCAATTTTACACGCTTTCTTTAAACTCACTCTGTTGTCGTATCTTCAAATCTTGTAACTCAATTTTAACCCACTTCCCAATGTGGTATCAACTGCAAACTTGGTATACTTATGTCATACTGATGATAATACTATATTCTATCATTACAAATAAAATAAAAAATATTTTTAAACATTATTTTGTATATGTTATGTTGCGGCTTGGGTAAAATTGTCCACTGTCAACTCACGTTGGCCACGGCCCCTTACGTTGTGGCGAGTTTCGGGGCCACTATCCTGGAGTCGTGAAGTTCTTCCATTAATACTAGTACATTTCATAACAGCGTGTTTTTAAAAAAAGTTTAAAAAAAAATATTACTTATTAAATGAAGGCCACGGACTGCGCCACAGAGTTTTTAGCGGTAAACAAGGCACCGTATTTACCGGGTTAATACTTCGCGCTACCTTTACCCTACTACCCTTTACCTTACCCCTTGGCATGTCGACACCTTTACCCAGTTTACCTGGTAAAATGGTAAATTACCTTGCCGAGGCCTATGGCTGTGTGTGTTGTTGACCGTGTGTGTGTTGACCGTGTGTGTGTTGGCTGTGTGTGTTGTTGACCGTGTGTGTGTTGTTGACTGTGTGTGTTGGTGACCGTGTGTGTGTTGTTGACCGTGTGTGTGTGTTGGCTGTCCATGTGTTGTTGACCGTGTGTGTGTGTGTTGGCTGTGTGTTGTTGACCGTGTGTGTGTTGTTGACCGTGTTTGTGTTGGCTGTGTGTGTTGTTGACCGTGTGTGTTGACCGTGTGTGTGTTGGCTGTGTGTGTTGACCGTGTGTGTGTGTTGACCGTGTGTGTGTTGTTGACCGTGTGTGTTGTTGACCGTGTGTGTTGTTGACTGTGTTTGTGTTGGCTGTGTGTGTTGTTGACCGTGTGTGTTGACCGTGTGTGTGTTGGCTGTGTGTGTTGTTGACCGTGTGTGTTGTTGACCGTGTGTGTGTTGTTGACCGTGTGTGTTGTTGACCGTGTGTGTGTTGTTGACCGTGTGTGTTGTTGACTGTGTGTGTGTTGGCTGTGTGTTGTTGACCGTGTGTGTTGTTGACCATGTGTGTTGTTGACCGTGTGTGTGTGTTGGCTGTGTGTTGTTGACCGTGTGTGTTGTTGACCGTGTGTGTGTGTTGGCTGTGTGTTGTTGACCGTGTGTGTTGTTGACCATGTGTGTTGTTGACCGTGTGTGTGTGTTGGCTGTGTGTTGTTGACCGTGTGTGTTGTTGACCGTGTGTGTGTTGTTGACCGTGTGTGTTGTTGACTGTGTGTGTGTGTTGGCTGTGTGTTGTTGACC